TAAATAAATAAATAAATAAATAAATAAATAAAAACTTAAAAAAATAAAATAAAACAAAATCCATTACTTTTTCCTCACTGCCTCCAGAAGAGGTTCAAACTGGGAACCTTTGGACCAAATTTAGTCCACAGATGTACTGATGTGTTTTTGTTCAAACATGTTTTAAAAAACAAAAAACAAAACCAAAAAACCAACTTGGGTCAATATTTGAAACCCAGGCAATTTTACATAATAATGTGGATTTCCAGCTTCTCTTTAAAAACTTGTAGATGGGCAAAAATCAGCTGGAACTGAGTCAAGAAGTTAGACAGTCTAGGGGAGCCTGAGTGGCTCACTCGGTTAAGCATCCAACTTCGGCTCAGGTCATGATCTCACGGTTCGTGGGTTCCAGCCCTGCGTTGGGCTCTGTGCTGACAACTCAGAGCCTGGAGCCTGCTTCCGATTCTGTGTCTCCCCCTCTCTCTGCCCCTCCCCTGTTTGCACTCTGTCTCTTTCTCTCTCTCTCTCAAAAATAAACAAACATTAAAAAAAATTTTTTTTTAAAGAACTTAGATAGTCTATGCTCTCCAGTAACGCCCAGTAGAGACTTGGGCGTCTAGTTCAACACAATCCCCATTTCAACGTTGGATTTTTTGACTCTTGCCCATCAGAGCTGCTTGTCACATAGCACAGCACATCCAATCCTTTCTGGCCTCTCCAGTTCTAGGTCCCCTCACTCATACCTGTGAACTTTACACTACAGTACTGCTTGTGCATCGAACTACTTGTAGCAGTTCCCCAACACATCAATTGTTCTCACCTCTTTTTGCCTTTTGTCTATGCTTTTCCCTTGGTCTAGAATGTCGGTCTCCTCCTGAACTCCAGGCTAAATTCTATTCAGTCTCTAAAATTGTGCTCAGATATCACCTCTAGAAAACATTCCAAGGCTCCCTTCCTCCTTCACTCTTTATTATCTCTGCATCTTGTACATTTTTTAATTATTGCACTTATAATAGACTGTAGTACAACTTATTTGTATACATGTCAGTCTCCAGCACTGGAGTGAACCCTTTAAAAACAGAAATCTCTATCATTTACAGTGTCTGCCACATAATAGCCACTCAACACATTTGATGAATGAGTAGTTGAGAAAATGAGATGAATAACTATGACCAGAGCTGATGAGGTTAGAGAGGGTAGGGCTCCCAGTAACTCACATATATTTCCATTTTTCGATAGAGACCATAGTTAAGTAGCAAATTGTGAGTCATGCGGATTCGGTGAGGCTTCATTGGGTGGCCTTGTCCATAATAGTAATTTCCAACATCCCCTGAAGAAAAAAGAGTGACAGTTTCAGTGACACAGTTCGACATACACTCCCAGGAGAATCCAGGAATCTTTATTAACTATCTCCTAGTCAAATTCTTTTTCTCTTTCGTTCTAGTCTCCAAGATTCTACCCAGCTTGAGGAAGGGTAACTCCAAAATTTAAAAAAAAAGCAAGCAGGGACGCCTGGGTGGCTTAGTCAGTTAAGCATCCAACTCTTGATTTTGGCTCAGGTCATGATCTCATGGTTCGTGAGTTTGAGCCCTGAGTTGGGCTCTGGGCTGATAGCACATAGCCTGCTTGGGATTCTCTTGCTCTCCCTCTCTCTCTACCCCTCCCCTCCATGTGTGCGTGCTCTAAATAAACATTAAAAAAAAAAAAAAAAAAAAAAAAAAAAAAAAAAAAAAAAGCAGAGGACCCTGGTGAGGTCAGCATTTAAGGATGTTAAGTCTAGTCCACAGGAACTAGACAGTGTAAGGGGTTCATTCCAAAGCTACTCGGGAATAACAGGCAGTGAGTGACTCACCCCACTATATATCTCCAAAGAATTCACTCCCACAACAGAAAAATAACCGTTAGTACTCAGAATTATTATAAGTCACAGTTCACCTTTATCATGCTGTGACACTTTATGGAGTCAAAGCACATTTACATTAGTTTTCTTACTGGATCTTCACAATAACCCCATAAAATAGTTAGAACAGGAAGTATTATTCTAATTTTATAAATAAGAAAACTAAGTTCTTATCATCTCTTGCTTCATCTATAGCAAAAGACTTCTAATTGATTCCTCTGCCTTCAATTCAAACTATCTACTACAACGACCAGTTATTTTTCTAATACACAGCTTTCATAACATCATTCCTCTGCTCAAAAAATCCTGAATGGCTCCCCATCTCCTACAGGATAAAGAACAACTTCACTAGCCTGGCATTCAACCCACAACACTCTCCCTCTCCCTCCCTTTCTCCCTCTCGCAGTTCTCCGCTCCAAAGTGGAATAGGCAAACTATGACCCTTGAGCCAAATACAATTGGCTGCCTGTTTTTTGTAAATAAAATTTTACTGGAACACAGCCATGCCCATTAGTTTAAATATTGTCTATGGCTGCTTTCACATTATAATAACAGAGCTGAGTAAATAGTTGCCACAGAGACCCACCCATATGGCACACGAAGTGAAAAATATTTACTATTTGGCCCTTCACAGAAAATTTGCCAATCTCTGTTCTAAACACACTAGATTATTATCAGCATCCTGAACATGGCATTCACCTTCACACCCAAGTAGCCTTTGTTCAGACTGTTCCTTTGACCTGGATTGTCCTTCCTTTTCTGATGATCCTCATACAACAAAGCCCAGCTTAAGTGCCAAACATATTCCTGATCAAAATAAATGGTCCTTTCCTCTGTATACAATTTGTATATATCACTTAACAAATTTTGTTTTGTATCTGAATTACTTACATATCTATTTTTATCTATTCATTTATTTATTTTGAGAGAGGGAGAGAGCGCACGCGCACAAGAGCAGAAGAGGGGCACAGAGGGAAAGAGAATCCGAAGCAAGCTCCAAGATCAGTGGGGAGCCTGATGTGGGGCTCCATCCCATGACCATGAGATCACAACCTGAGCTGAACTCAAGAGTTAGACACTTAGAACTGACTGAAGCCACCCAGGTGTCCCCTTACATATCTATTTATATTCCTAAGACTGGCTGCTCCTTGAAGACAAGGACAAATATGCCCTGTACATCACAGAAGCTGAATAAAGATTCAAGGAACTGAACTCAGTGAGATTCAGAGAGGTTAAGTGCCTGCTCAAGATCACACAACCAATAACTGATCCAGGGGTCGACTCTTCTGACTCCAAATTCAGTATCCTAAAAGCTACATTGGGTTTACCAGATACTTACTTCAATTTGCACTTAAACCAGAGGGCTCTGTGAATCTACTTGCCACAAAGTTCCTGGAACAAATATTCCAGAAATCAAGTGGGGGCGCCTGGCTGGCTCAGTTGCTAGAGCATGCGATTCTTGATCTCAGGGTTGTGAGGTCAAGCCCCATCTTGGGCACAGAGCTTACTATAAAAAAATGAAAAAACTGGGGTGCCTGGGTGGCTCAGTCAGTTAAGCATCTGACTTTGGCTCAGGTCATAATCTCACAGTTCTTGAGTTCGAGCCCCACGTCAGGCTCTCTGCTATCAGCACAGAGCCCATTTTGGATCCTCTGTCTCCCTCTCTCTTTGCCCTTCCTCTCTGCTTGTGCACGCTCTCTCTCTCAAAATAAATAAACCTAAGAAAAAAAAATTTTTAATGAAAAAGTTAAAAGCCAAAAAACAGCACAAAAATCAAGTGAACTGCACACCCAAGGATAGATCTCTCTCGCCTTAGAAGTCCATCAAGACGAGGCAGATCTTTGAGCACCAGTGAAAAGAAGGTCCCAACCTCTTATGCACTGTGGTTTGGTGGCACGAGTAACAGAATTCATTCCAGGGAGCAATGCATTGTGGGAAATGCCACCAATAGTATCCAAGCCACACTCCAATACTCTTGGTCATAGACATGGCCTGGGACAATGGGAAACTTCTAAACAGTTGGATATTTAGGATCTCACCCTCTTCTCTGTCTTTTTATTAGACTACTTTTTAGAACAATTTTAGATTTACAGAAAAATTGCAAAGATAGAGTTCTCAGATACCTCATAGGCAGTTTCCCCTATTATTAGCATTCTACATGATAAAATAAGAAGTATCTGTTACAGTTAATGAACCAATATTGATACAGTGTCATTAACTAAAAAGAAGCCCATGCTTTATTCAAATTTTCTTAGTTTTCCTTAGTTTTTGTTTAATGTCCTTTTATCCTCTTCTCTTAATCTTAGGCAGACCTCTGAGGGCAGGAACTGTGCTCTTAGCCAGAGCTGCAAGCCAGAGTACAGTATTTGATGGCATTCAATTGGGACCCTTGTCCCATAGAGACAGACTTTGAGATGCAGTAGCAGAGGAGGCAGGCAGAAAATTTTGCTCCCAGAGACCCTCAGACAAGCTTATCAGCTATGAGGATTGACAGAATAGGTTTTCAAGGCATTGGCTGAGACATCCAGATGCAGACCCAATTTGAAGGCAGTCGGTAACATGACCATTACTGTTACATAATTAGATCACGGCTTATCCAGGTCTCTGGCCTGGGCCTTGATCCCCAGCAACTCCTCTGCCTATCAAACCTGAATTCAGCCAAGGCTTAGACTTGGGGGACTAAGATAACTTATCTAGAAGGCTAGGGGAGTACCTGAGGGTGGGGCCCAGACACCATCCTTTTCTTAACAGCTTTTAATCCAGTTGCTAAGAGACTTTTAAAAGAAATAATCATTTTCCTTTAGATACTACCTTTAAACTTGTGGAAAGCTTCTCCCATTGTTCTCAAAGTTTTTCAGTTTTATAGGAGAGTGACCTGAGGCCTGCAAAGGTAAAGTGACTTGCCCAATACTGCAAAGCTTCTGAGGGGCAGAACCAAGTCTGAGTCCCAAGCTAGTGACCTCACTGCAAAAGTCACAAGCGGTTTCTCAAGGAGTAAGAAATCTCCCTTGCCTAAAAACTGCAGTCTTTCCACTTTTTCTCTTTTTAAACTAATGGTGGAGAGATCATAAAACAGTGCAAACCGATACAGCTACAAAGTCGCAGGCTCCAGCCCCAAATAGGCCCTCACCACTGCCCAGCAACTCTTCCAAATTTATTTTCCTACCTCCCTCGTTCACAACAGCTACTTCACAGCTCTCTCTCTCAAGATTCCTACTCTACCAACTACCCTCCGCCCACTCACAGGAAAAGAAATAATCTACCTCATCTTGAAAACTCCAACTTTCTCTTCATCAAACTTGCCTACATTTGAACTTTTCCTTGCCTCTCATCATGAAGAAACTTCCCCCTGAAGGCTAGTGCCCATACCTGTGCTCTGGTTTCCATCTCACCTGGTCTCTTCAGGAACCTCCATCATTACCCATCCCTCTCTTTCCTGTATCTGCAACCCCTCCCCCTGGCTATTTACCATTCACATTTTGAATATGCTCAACTCTCAGCCACTACATCCCCCTGTATCAACAACCCTCTCTCTCTGCCCCAACCCAGCTTCCTTTGAAAAGGGTTCAATCTTGGGGCACCTGGGTGGCTCAGTCGGTTAAGCGGCTGACTTCGGCTCAGGTCATGATCTCACTGTCCGTGAGTTCGAGCCCCGCGTCGGGCTCTGTGCTGACAGCTCAGAGCCTGGAGCCTGTTTCAGATTCTGTGTCTCTCTCTCTCTCTCTGACCCTCCCCCGTTCATGCTCTGTCTCTCTCTGTCTCAAAAATAAATAAATGTTAAAAAAAAAAAAAAAAGAAAGAAAGAAAAGGGTTCAATCTGATGTCTTGTCTTCACCCATCCATTCATTCTTCAATCTACCACAATCTCACTTCAATTCCAAACTGTACACACAAAACAGTTCTTGCCAACACTTGGCCACTCCTTCCTTCTTTTGGCTACTGTAACCCAAGACTTTCTGGTTCACTTACATTCCCTCTGTACAATTTAATCGGCAAGTATTTATTGACAGCCTACTCTGAGCTAGGCATTGTTCTGGGGGCTGAGCATACAGAGCTAGACAAGACATGGTCTCTTTCCCTAAGGAGATTACTGTCTAAGAAGAACGAACAAGTAAATGGGCAATTCCAACACACAGTGACAAGTGCTACGACAGGGGAATACAGAGCATGAAGGGCACTAGACTTTTCCTCAGTGCATGTCCTTAGAATTCCACTCCGATCTTCTTCTCTTCCCACGCTATACAACTTCTTGGGTGATTGTATCCTCTTCCATAACTAAAATTACCATCTGCATGCTGACAACTACCAAAAATCTTTATCTTCTCATTTTTGTCTTCTAAATGGCCAACCTGGGGGCACCTGGGTGGCTCAGTTGGTTAAGCGTCAGACGTCGGCTAAGGCTACGATCTCACAGCTAGTGAGTTCAAGCCCTGCACTGGGCTCTGTGCTGACAGCTCAGAGCCTGAAGCCTGCCTCAGATTCTTGTCTCCTTCTCTCTCTGCCCAGCCCCTGCTCGCACTCTGCCTCTCTCTCTCTCTCTCAAAATTAATTGAAAAAAATAAAAATAAAAATGGCGACCTGAATGGCCAACTGCCTACTGGATGCCTCTACTTGGATATCCCCTAGTAGAGATAGCCCTCAAAAAATACTTCTTAAAAAAACCCAAAACCCAAAGTTATTAACTGACATAACCTTCTCCAAACACTCAACATCAAACTGCCCAACCCAGAAGTTTGGGATCCTTGCCGTCTTCCTTACCTGTACACTGGCGAATTCAATTTGTCTCAGAGTGATAGGTCTGAGGTATAAATCTGATGATGTCACAACCTGCATAAAACTTCAATGATTCACAAGTGCACTCACAATAAAGTCCAACTTCCTTAAGACAGTGTGTCCAGCCCTTCATGATCTGGTCCCCAGATCATGAGGTTCAAGCCTCATCACTTGCAACCTCTCCCTCCACCCTATTTCCTGAACTTCTACACTCTGCCCTCAAACCTATGCCTTAGCCATGCTGTACACACACCTGCTTTCAAAAATGCTGTCCTCTCTCTTACCTCTAAACTTACTGTCACCTTTGCCTTCTGGGAGCTTGGCTAATAACTCCTGTTCTTCGGGTCCAGGATGACACCTCCCTCCCTGACTCCCCAGGCTGGGCTGAGTACCTCTCCTCTGTGCTCCCAAAACACTCTGAGCTTTCCTTTATCCCAGCATGACACTGGAGAGCAGTTCCCTGCCACTGTCTATCTCCCCTTCCAGACTGAGAAGAAGACGGGAAGTGACCTGATCAGCCCCATGGTCCCAGCAGCTAATCATCCCTAGTACAGAGTAAGCTGCTCCATAGGCTTTTGTTAAATGAAAAAGTCTGTTTTAACAGGTTGCAACTTTCTCCTTCCAAGCCCAGGGGCCCCATTTCCCAGCAGCAACTGCAGGCCCAGCTCAGAGACTGGGGGAGGGGAGGCTGGTGACAGGAGGTGGGGACTCCGCAGGACTCTCACCAAAAAGGATGAGGAAGCAAAGGGGCAGAGGAAGACTTTTGTATTCTCAGCAGGAAAATAGATCATTGCACACTTCTCCACCAGATCCTGCCTCCCGACTCAGACTCAGCCTCCCCTCCAGGAGTCCCACTAAAACTCTCCCCATAAAGCTTCCTGAGGATTCCCCCCTTCTCCGCCTCCCGCCACCAAGTTACCCCAAGCTTCTCCAGACGACCCCCGCTCGGCCTCAGCCTCTTCCCTCGGCCTCGACTTCCCTTCCTTTCCTCTGAGCCTCCTCCCTCAGTCTCGATCTCCTGCTCTCAGCCTCCTCCCTCACCCTGACCTCTTTCCTCTGAGCCTCCTCCCTCAGCCTCGACCTCCTGCTCTCAGCCTCCTCCCTCACCCTAACCTCTTTCCTCTGAGCCTCCTCCCTCAGTCTCGACCTCCTTCCTCTCAGCCTCCTCTCTCAGCCTCGACCTTCTCCCAGCCTCCTCTCTCAGCCTTTCCCCAACGCCTCAGCCTCTCCCAGCCTCCCCGCTCACATCTCCTCAGCCTCCCTCTCCTGGATCCGGCCCGGCGCGGCCCCGCCCCCGCCCCCGCCACGCGCACGGAGCTCACCGTCGTAGTAGTAACAGACTTTCCTCCGGGTGCCCTGAGTCTGCGCCATTTTGCTCGGCTCCCGTCCCTCCCGTCAGTCGGTCCGTCCGGCCTCCCGCCCGCGGCTCGGCTCAGCGTCCGACCCAGGGGAGGAGGGGGCGGGCCTCCAACCCGCTCCGCCCGTCCCCTCCCGGGCTCACCTATAGCCGCGCAGCCCGGGCACGGCTCCAGCCAATCAGCTTGCGCAAGGACGGCCCGGAACTCGGCTGGGGGCAAGGGCAGCCCTGAGAGGCAGCCGAGGGCCCCCTGGGCCTGTACCAAGGTCTGCGACAGGGGGGTGGGGGAAACTGCCCGGGGACCGTACCATTAGTCCCGGGGGAGGAAAGCAGATCCGTACACTCCACGGTCCCATTTCGGTGTTGGAAGCGTGCCTGGAGGTCAGAAGCCAACTTTGCAATTTTATAGAGAATCACCCGAGGCCTGTGGGGGGGAAAGTGACTTGCACAAGGTCACTCAGCTAATGACAGGGCTGAACGTCGATTAGAACACAGGTTTGGAAGAGGGAGAAGTAAACTGACAAAGGAAAGAAAAGCGCTCTAGGCCGAGTACTGTGGAATAGAGTTACCAACGTTTATCTCAATGATTGCTCACAGCGGCTTTGGAAAAGGACTTTTTATCCCCGTTTTACGGGTAAGAATAATGAACTTCAGACCTTTGAGACCTGCTCAGAGTCACACAATTAGTAATTAAATTCAGCTTTCAGTAGTACAGATTTTTTGAATGCCTACTGTGCACCAGAGACACTGTTAACAAAAGGGTAGAACCCAGCCTTTCTTACTCCAAAGCCTACCTCCCTGGTGCAGACACACACACACACACACACACACACACACACACACACACACACACACACACACACACACACACCAGGAGGACTGAAGAATGCGTTTACACAGGAGGGAACTGATTGCCCCCTTATACTAAAGCAGGATTTCTCAAGCTATTGAAGCTACTGACATTTGGAGCTGGATAATTCCTCGTTGCAGGGGGCTGTCCCCTGCCCTGTAGGATGTTTAGCAGCATCCTTGGCCCTTACTCATTAGATGTGAATAGCAACCTCCACTCTCACCCCCAGTACCGATGACCAAAATTGTCTCCAGACATTGCAAAAATGTCTCCAGGGCAAAAATTGCTCTCACCCTACCCTTGAGAAACACTGCACTAAACCGATCAGTCATCAACTGTTCATTACTGAAAGCTGAAAGACTGAAAAGCACAGTGATGAGCTATTAAAATAACAAATACAACACAAAATTAATATTAGTAAATGCTTACCATCTGTGTGCCAACTAAGTTACAAACTCATGGTCCTGTAGTCCATAAGATACATTTTTATGCCCCTAGCCTTTGAAGAGGGCTTGGGCACTTGTGTTTCTCATTTGAGAACAGCATTTGGGGCACTAATTATAAAAGTAACAGATCTAAGACTGGCAGTTCTATTATAAAACAGCTAAAGGGCCAGGGAATAAGCCCTATTTCCAGTTCTGTGTTGCTGCTTCCCAGCTAGGAACGTTTCTGGCCCCACTTCCCTCTTTGTAAATTGGAGAGGATAACAATGCAAAGTTCACCAATTCTATGGCTGCAGGAACGAAGAGGAGGGTGGGGATCAGATGCGGTCATGGGTGTGGCAACATTTTATAAAATGCAGAACAGGAATCAAACACTCAGATCCTTACGGAGGTGAGGCAAGTGATGTAAAATAAGCGGATTTATATTAATTTATATTAGTTTGATTCAGGTGCTTTGCATATTTCTAAAATTGGATCCTTTTTCACTTTTATAAAGCAATATGCCTTTCTTTCCCCTATCTTTCTTCAAACACAGTGCCATCTGCAGGTATCTTTTATTTTGTCACTTTTTAATGGAAATATAGGTGGAAAAAACATTTCGTTTTCCTCTTCATTATAAGAACAACAGTGCAAGCATGATGATAAATAACCACTAACACTCAGTGTCACTGTCTGGGAGTGGAAGGGACTTTGGCAAAGAAAGAGCTCAAATCCCACCCGAAGAGGGTGGCCACTACTCAGCTCCATGACAGGTGAATCCAATAAAGCCAAATCGTCCTTTTTTTTTTTTTCAAGAGAAGGTAGAAATCTATAGTGTTTTTTTATGTTTATTTATTTATTTTGAGAGAGAGAGAGAGAGCATGCCCACAAGCAGAGGCAGGACAGAGAGAAGAGAGAGAGAATCCCAAGCAGCCTCCACACTACCCAGGCAGAGCCCGACTCTGGGGCCCAACCTCACAAACCACAAGATCATGAATCAAGAATTGGACACTTAACCGACTGAGCCACCCAGGCGCCCCTAGAAATCTGGAGATTTATGCAAAATCTTCCCAGTTTTATAAATTGACTAACTCAAGACATTAGTAGCAGCCATTCTTTTAAAATGTAAGTCAGATCATGTCGTGGCTCTGCAAAAATCCCCGAAAAAGTCTCCTTGAAATGGTTCCTGCAAAGATCACAAGGCCCCAGGCCACACAGGATCTCTGCCCCTCAGGCCCCCCCCTCCCCCATTCAGGACCTTGGTCTCTGAGCTTGCCAAAGAAGCTTCTGCCTCAGGCTGCTCATCCCCCTCTGCTCCTGCCCCATACCTTGTGGCTTGCTCCCTCATTTCCTTCAAATATTTGCTCAAAAGTCGCCTTCTCAATGAGGCCTTCCCAGACCACCCTGTTTAAAATTGAAAACCTCCCCCAGCGATGACATTCCTAATTTCCCTTACCCTGTTTTATTTTCCCCTTAGCACTCAGCACCATACCGTATCATTTACTCTTGGCGATGTTTATTGTCTGTCTTCCCTTACTAGAATGTAAGCTCCATAAGAACAGAGATTTTGTTTGTTTAATCTATTGTATATTCTATGGACCCAGAACCATGCCTGGTACACAGTAGATGTCCAATAAATATTTGCCAAATGAGTAAATTAATTCAGTGTTCAAAAACATCTTGAACGTGAACCAAAACATATTTGAGTACAAATCTAGCCCCAGAATCAGTAATTGTAAAAAAAGCTATTGCCCTTACATAATGGAAGGGGAGGGTCCTGGGACACACCCACTCCCTAGGAGGTTCTGCGCAGGGGTTCACACTTAATCCTTTGGGGTAGGGGTGAGGTTGAAGGAGTTCACAAAGCCCATACAGCAAAGTGTAAGAACTTCCTCTTGGCCCCCCCAAATCAGCAGGGCTGAAAAAAGATCAGACATCCCCTCATCCCATCTTTCACCCCAATTCAGGGTGACTTACTTTCCATCTTTTGAACCCCCACTCCTCCCTCCCAAGGAAGAGGAGATGGGAGTAGGGAGCTGAGAGATGTACAGTCTTCGTCAACAGAGAGTCATTTATTGAGCTCCTAATGTGTGCCAGGCACCAAGGAGGAGCACACAGAGGTATTAGATAAGGTCCCAGCCTTCAAGGAGTTTCTTGATGGCTAGGGGAAAGGAAAAGGGGGTGGGCAGAAGCTGGTATCAATCACAGGCGTCTCCCTTCTCTCCGGTGGTCTTGGGAGGTAGGACCCACAAAGGGACAACTTGAATGGGTGTCCAAGTCATATATGCACTTGCCACACATGTACAAGACACACGTGCAGAGCCCACACAACTACAGAACCCGTGTATAAGACACAAGAAGTATATGTGCCACACGGGGGATGGGATTCACATGCAGAGTCCATATGTGCATAGGCCACATGGGTAAGACACAAGAACTGCATCTCCCCCAGCCAGGTTGACTAGATGGAGGTAGGGCTCCAGGCCCCGGCCAGCTAGGCCTCTCAGGGCTGGGCCTGGTACTGGCCCTCTGTGGCCGTGAAGAAGTCCTCCAGCACGCTGCGCAGGTAGTCAAAGGTGGGCCGTTCCTCTGGCCGCTCCTTCCAGCACAGCATCATGAGGTGGTATAGCTCCTCTGGGCAGTTGTCAGGTCGCACCATGCGGTAGCCTCGCTCCAGGTTCTGAATCACCTCAGGATTGGTCATCCCTAGAGGTTGACAGGAGAAAGATCAAGGATTCGGGCTTTGGAAGCCCACAGCAGGGATGATGTTTAGAATGTTTAACTGGTATGGTGTGAGCACCAATCAATCCCAAAGGATCTTGGTCTTCACCAATGGTAACAGCGTACTTCAGGTACCTGCCCGGTGTCAGTCACGCCACTTGGAGTGTCTGTTGTGGCTTAAGCACTCAAAACACGTAGATGTTGAATGTGAGACCTGGGGTGAGCCACCTCCCCTCTTTGAGCCTCAGTTTCCTCATCTGGGAAATGGATTATATAGTAGCTCCTACCTCATAGAGCTGTTATGAAAATTGAGTGAGAGTGCATATAAAGCACCAAGTATAGTGCCTGGAGAGATGCTGCGTGAAGAATATCTTTGAGTATTACGATCTGGTGGGGAGAGATGGTGGCAGGTCAGGGCCCAGGACAGAATGGGAGCTCACAGACAGCATAGTGGTGAGGCTTCTCTGGCTTTGGGACCAGGCACATGAGATGCTGCATCAGGAAACCAGATAGACCCCCCAGCAAAGGCCCCTGTGTGACCCAGATTAAATAATTTGGGGGCCACTTCTTTTAAAACCCGGAAATTCAAGGACATAGATCAGTGAACTACACACCCATGGCTAGAGGCGAGAGTGCAAACTCACAGTCTACACCCAGCTTAAATATAGCCCACAGATCTACTTCGGTTTAGTCCCTATAGTGTCTTTCAACAATTTGAATCAATCACTGATATTTGGATATGGGCAAATTTTCCTAAAATTTCAACTTTTGGCTTTTGAAAAAAAGAAAGGATCTGTTTTGGGGGTCCCTATGTCTTAGTAGCAACCATCCTCTGGAATAGATGCTCACCCAGGTTCACCCAGGTCCCCATTACTCCTCATTGTCTCCTTAACCCTGAAGCCACATTTCTGTTGCCATACTTCTGTTGCCATCATACTTGTAATGTTTTTGTTGCTGTTTTTTGTTGTTGTTGTTGTTGTTGTTAAGTAGGCTGTATGCCCAATGTAGTGCTTGAACACATGACCCTGAGATC